CGTCACAGCATAAACCCGATTCTAAGGTACAAGGATTCTACCATAGAAAAAACCAATGAGTTCACATATCTCGGAATGACGTTTGACACAAAGTTAACGTGGAAAAGTCACATTGCTAAAATAGCAGAACGAGTCTCCAATAGACTGAATGTCCTGAAGCGTCTTGCTGGTAGCGTATGGGGCTGTGCACGCTCAACTCTCAACGCCACTTACAAGATGTTTATTCAGCCAATAATGTTGTATTGCTGTGAGCCACTCATTACAGCCACAGAGGTGATTCTCAAACCACTCGAGAAGACACACAACCAGGCATTACGGCTAATTACTGGAGGGATAAAATCAACACCCATTGATGTAATGCCCCTAGTTACAGGAAGCACCACAATAGGTTCCCTTATCAAAGAAAAGGCCTTGATCCTGTATGAGAAGCTACTGCGCATTCCCATGGATAAGTTCTTCACCACCTATGAGAATAGACCAAGACATCTGAAAAAACAATCTGATCTAATATAGAAAGCCATAGAACTGAAGAAAGAATTAAAAATCGATGACAAACCAAAAAGCCTCTCTTTACCTATGAACCCATTAGCAGACACTGATGTAATGTGTTACACCCAACTGCTTGACTTCTTCCGGAAATCAAACACCCCTCCAGAACAAATGCGATCACTGGCCCTTGAGACAATCAATGTTAACTATTCTGGAGATCAATGGCTCCAAGTCTTCACTGAAGAGTCATACATAGAAAATCAAGCAAACATTGGTGCAGGTGTCTATTCCGAACTCTTCTCTGTCTACGCAGCAGCGGGACACAAGAGATCCGCTTTTGAAGGAGAAATAGAGGCCATTAGGATAGCACTATGCCAATTATGTTGCCTGGATACGAAATTCATTAAAGCGGTGATACTTTCGGACTCACAATCAGCAATAAACCCAATTGGAAGCAGAGAGCCACCCAAAACAGCCGAGATAAAGGAATGTAGAAAACTCTATCAGCTTCTGAGAGAGAAAAACAAAACAGTGGTCCTACAATGGATTCCTGGTCACTGTGGCTTTAAAGGCAATTAAGGGGACAACGATTTCGCAATGCATGGACCGGCCAATGTCTTTCCACACAATGAAGGCCTAATGGACCGGGGTCTTCCCACACAATGAAGGCCTTAATCAGAAAAGAATTCCCGACCTCAATGTGCAACGAAATTAAAGCTCGAAGAGAATTCAAGACCTCAAGGTACAACGAACTTAAAGCTCGGAAAGGAGAAACAGTGGACAGTGGCACTCTCCGATATAGCCCCAAAGGAGAAATAGTGGACAGTGGCACTCTCCGACATACCCGGCGGCGAGAATCGAAGCCGTTGCTGAGTTTAGACTACGTATCGGACAGAAGCCGTTGCTGAGTTTAGACTACATACCGGACCGATTGCTTGGCAAAACACCTTCACAGATTGGGAGTATACGAGCCGTTGCTGAGTTTAGACTACGTACTGGACAACCGTTGATGAGTTTAGACTACGTACCGAACACGATTGCCTATAAACACCTTCACAGATTGGGAGTATACACTCAACTCACATGTACCATCTTCACAGATTGGGAGTATACACTCAACCCACATGCCCCCTATGTAGCCTTGGGAGTATACACTCAACCCACATGCCCCCTATGTAACCTTCAAGAGGAAATGGAGAAGACCCACCTGATTCGGTGTCCCGGGAGTATACACTCAACCCACATGCCCTCTATGTAACGTAGGTATACACTCAACCCACATGCCCTCTATGTAACCTACATTTGAGAAGACCCACCTGATTCGGTGTCCAGCCCTAAAGACACAGAAGACCCACCTGATTCGGTGTCCAGCCCTAAAGACAGGAAGACCCACCTGATTCGGTGTCCAGCCCTAAAGACAAGGAGAAGACCCACCTGATTCGGTGTCCAGCCCTAAAGACAAGGAAACCCACATGCCCTCTATGTAACCTACAGGAGGAAATGGTATCATGCCCCCTATGTAACCTGCAGGAGGAAATGGAGAAGACGCACCTGATCGGTAACCTACAGGAGGAAATGGAGAAGACCCACCTGATTCGGTATATTGGGAGAATACACTCAACCCACATGCCCTCTATGTAGCCTGGGAGTATACACTCAACCCACATGCCCTCTATGTAACCTAAACTCAACCCACATGCCCTCTATGTAACCTACATGAGGAAACGAGAAGACCCACCTGATTCGGTGTCCAGCCCTAAAGACACAGAAGACCCACCTGATTCGGTGTCCAGCCCTAAAGACAGGAAGACCCACCTGATTCGGTGTCCAGCCCTAAAGACAAGGAAACCCACATGCCCTCTATGTAACCTACAGGAGGAAATGGTATCATGCCCCTTATGTAACCTACAGGAGGAAATGGAGAGGACCCACTGATTCGGTGTCCAGCTCTAAAGACAAGGACGGAAAGCCAGAGATACTGTTAAGCAAGAAGACTGCTAATGAACTGCTATTAATTAACTGCCGCAAGAAGACAGCTAATGAATTGCTATTAATTAACTGCTACATGTATGTACCCCACCCCCTCTTGGGGGAAGCTGAAGTCAAAGTTTAAGGGCTAATGATAGAATGAACTGCTATTAATTAACTGCTATATATGCACCCCCCACCCCTGGGTGTAATGAACTGCTATTAGTTAACTGCTATATATGTACCCCCTACCCATGGGGCAAGCTGAACGTCAAAGGATTAAGGGGGGCTAATGATAAATATCATAAAGCCTGCCATTTGAAATAAATAAATAACGTTTCCATTAGCTAGCAAATCAGGAGAATTACACACTTTGCAATTCGGCTTCATGAAGGAAAGTTTGGTAGGTAATAGAAATAAGCGAATCCCAGTCAGCTTTCTGTCAGCAAACCACTATAAATTTTGTTTTTGTAAAGTAGATTTTAACGATTTCGGAAATTTACGATAAGTTGGCCCCTTGGTAAAGTTCCATTCAAACGGAAATGCTATCAGTGAGAATTTATTTGATAAATTATGTTCAAGTTATTTATGTAATTAGTACGAAAACCTTGTTCTCTAATGTCTATAACTGGCACTGTTATTTTCAAATCCTATTTTTTGGAAAACATATTATACTAGACTCACTAAGTGACTTCAAAATGGTATTATTTTGTTGTAAGCAAAGTCCCAAATGTTTGAAAAATAGATAAATATATTCGTTCCTGCAAATTTTAATCTTAGATACGCTAGAACCGGAGGGTAAATCATACTGAAATATCATGTTAGCCAGTTCATGATTTCGATTAGCAGATTAAATTGGTGGGTGTTAAATTTCTACGAATTTCTATTTTTAATATATTATATCAAATGACAGGCATGTTCCCAATTATTTATTTATTTATATCAAATGGCAGGAGTTTTGAAGATAGTTATCATTAGCCCTGGAGCTGACTTCGGGGCTTCACAGACTATCATTAGCCCTTTAGTTGACTTCGTGCTTCACAGAAGCAATTTAGCTGACTTCGGGGCTTCACAGAGAGAAGGAACATCAAAGTGACAAAAAGTCGAGAGGGGGGACAGAATAATGATCCCCAGATTTAACAGAGACAGACAGGCAGACGAAAAGACAGAGAAAAGGTTAGGTGAGCACTGTGGACCAAGTCAAATATGACATACATTGGAGTGATGATAGTTTGAAGTCAGAAGTCAACTGCCAGTTAATAGACTTTTTTGCAGTATGAGTATACGTTGCCCAGGGTGCACCACGTGGAGGAAAGCCTATTGCGCACCCCATATTTAATATAGTGCTATATGCAATAGTAAAAGCCTGTTTACTACGGAGGATCCGATGTTTGTCTATCGCCAACACACTTATCAGTGGAAAGAGGGCTAATTGTTAAAGCTTTCGGTCTTGAAAAGAAAAATCATGGTTTTTTCTGTCAATAGGATTTTTGATTAGTGAACCTCAGACCACTGAAGTAGGCGAATGAAACCTAGAACAGTAGATTCAAGAAATTTATAAACTCTATTCCACGCTGAAGAAGAAAGCACATTTCGTTAGCTTGTAGCGGTTAGTTAATTGTCGTGCAGTTTTAAGATTACTTGAAGATTCAGAAATTAAATCATAAATGACGGCATATTGAAATGAAATGTCCTTGACTTTGGGAAAATTAGTGAAAAATTAGATGGAGCCGAGCACAAAATCACCTTTTCGATCACGTAAGTCTCTAAAGACATTCATCGATTAAGTTGAGATACGGACGAAGATTGGCTTCATTCTTTAACTTGAAGAAAATTAATACACCCCATTTTTGAGAAGTTGCTTATTGTCTAAACCAGGAATATCTTGACAAACGGCTCTATTGTTCGAAAAATCCCCCATGTTTCAAAGCAAGTAGGACATATTAACAAAAGCAAATTTAGGGTTGCTTAAATAGACAAAAAATATTTGAGTTATTTGATAATGTCTGACTATCTACTAACATAGCAAAATTAAAGCAAATTCGAGGACAGCAATAGGCCGTTTTCGAATTTTATGCGTTGTAGCTCAAACGGTTTTAGTAGTTGCAAGAATTAAAATACAATAAAAACGTAACAAAACGAACTCGATTCCAATTGGATGTACAGATATATATGCGTCAAACGTAATTGGTTTCGGTTGGCATTACTTTGAGTATCTATATTGTACTACGGGGTAGCTATTTTATGCGAGTTTGTGCTTGATTTGTGCATCAACCTGTTCCTATTCGCTTTGTGCTCAATCTAGTTTGCAGCTATACACGTGAGAATAGCTCATTCTAGTGTTCTTATGAGAGAGAAATGCACGTGTCAAATTGATGCTTCAGTCTGAATACGTTGAAACAATCATTCCTCAATTAATGCAATTATTCATTCATTAATTTCAAAAGTCAGGCGTTTTGATATTTAGCATTAGCCCTTTAGCTGACTTCGGACTTTACAGTGGGAAGGAACATCAAAGTAACAGAAAGTCGAGTGGTGGGGTACAGAAGAGTGATTCACAGATGTAAAGGAGACAGACACAAAGGTAGAAAAAATGAAAGGTGAATACCGTAGGGTTGACCGAAAATGACATACAGTGGGGTCATGGTAGTCTGAAGTCAGCTATCAGTTAATAGACTATTTTTGCCGAATGAGTATGCGTTGCCCAGAGTGCGCAACGTAGAGGTAAGCCTACCGCATACCCCCACACTAGCCACTTATAAGATAACACATAATGTACTAGTTACAGTTGATATTGACTGAGTGACACTACCAAATATTGCTAGTTTCTCCGATTCAGGGCGAACACTACCCTCTGTCGAAAAACAAGCTCAAAATGGTTTGTAAAATGCAGGATTTATAAAACGTTAAAAACCACCAATTCGATTTTTCTCAAAATTTCATTTTGCCATGAAGGCTCTATATTCTTTCTTGTTTGAATGGAGTCATTGATAATGTCCTTCGATTAAATAGACGAGAGTTTGCACTTTGTCGTGAAATACAAAGCTGTCTTCTTCTTTTCGCCTTCCATATCTTAATGCATTGCATCTACTTTGCTATATTTTGTTAAATAGAAATCCATGTGTCAATGATTTATGAAATAGAATAACTTATCTTGATATTTGAGCCTAGGGGTGTGTGATAGACTTACCACCAAGTGGTGCACCCTGGACAACATATACTCATGCGCCAAAAAAGTCTATTAACCGACAGTTGACTTCTGACCTCAAACTACAATGGTCCCACTGTATGTCATTTCTACTCACCTCTCTTTTTCTCTGCCCTTGTGTCTGTCTGTCTCTTATATTTTTGAATCTCTCTTCTGCAACCCCCTCTCGAATTTTTCTCACTCCATGTTCCTCCCCTCTGTGAGGCCCGAAGTCAGCTAAAGGGCTAATGATAATTATCAAGACGCCTGCCATTTGATATAAATAAATACTTGAGTCTAATGAGTTGAAGTGTCACTCATCATATTTGAGATGTTCACTCAAATTAATAATGTTTCATCCTGTCTTGCAATTAGGACACAGACACAGTCCAAGAAATGATCCTTTGTGTGCGAGTCTCTTAAAACCTCGTGAGAAATCCTTTCAAAATGGATGGGTATTTAGTGGCTCGTGATGACGGGCTATTGACATCTTAAGGTTCAAGGTTGAGCACATTTAATTGGGTCACCCTAAAATAGGTCAAGAGCTACAAAGGAAATTCTTCACAACAATAGAGCCTTAACACTTCGGTCTCTTAGCAAAGCAGTTTCTTAATCAAGCACGTAAACAGCAGTGAGAGGAAGATTCTTCATTTCAATTTAACTTCATTCAGAGGGTTATACAAGGTGGCATGGGAAGAAATGTGTCCAGTGTAAAAACCTCGTAAATACAAAATGCTACTCTTTTAATTCAGTAGATTTATCTATTTCATATCAGGCACCTCGAGATGTGGATTATTTTGCTGAAAAGACCTTTATTCAATATCATTAGCTTTCCCTACGGTTACGGGTTCTTTATGACTCCTCGGAAAAAGCCTCAAATACCGTTTTCAACTAAGTATTGATTTCTTTATGCTCAATACTTGAGTCGTTATGGAATTATCCCATAGGAGTTATTCGATGAGGAAATCAATCCATGCCACCTTAAGATTTTATTAATGTTGGCCTTTGCACTGTAAGAGATGCAAGGTGAGAACAAAGTATGCCAACTCTAAGAAATGCCATATCTGTAGTGGAGTGCTACACTAATAAACATTGATGCATGCTCAGTAATCTCTATTGCAGTATTTTCTAGTTTACAACGGCTAGGAGGGTTAGCTAAGCCACCTCGACGATATAAGAGGAAACAGACGTATGACGTGGATCACTGACAGGAAGCTTAGTCATTATATGCAATTTCAGAATACTGACTATTATCAGCAATAAAAGCGAATGTATTCCCTTCGTGTTCGGCTCGGATGCTCAGAACCATTCATCAATATTAAGTGGGTCTGAATTCCACCAGTGGTCAAAGAGGTCCATCTACTCAGTTGTAGCTGGTCTAATATAATGTAATTCGATCAAGCATAGCTGGGTATTTTACTGGGTCTTCACAGTTTTGTTTAGGCAGATCCCAACAACTAATACTCATTTGATCAAAGAAAAGTGGACACTTGATATGCACAGTGTTCGTGAAAATTATCCCGCTCTCATCAGGAAAAGAAAAGCAAGGGTAAAGATTTAATGTGATTTAAATTAATCCAATAGACAATATATTAGTACCGGCTTGGACTCTGAGAACTATTATTAAGGTATAATGTGCCGTATACATTTTTTTCTTTAAAGGAACTCTCATTCACTCATGCATTAAAAATCAATAAGGAAGAAAGTAGGAAAACTGTCTTATTTATTTATTTATATCAAATGAGAGGCGTTTTGGTAGTTATCATTAGCCATTTAGTTGACTTCAGACTTCACAGAGGGGAAGGAACATCGAAGTGAAAAAAAAACGAAAGGGGAGGACAGAAGAATGTTTCAAAGACGAAGGCAGAAAAGGTAGATAGAAGATGAGATGCGTACCATGAAAGCAGTCGAATATGGCGTACAGTGGGATAATGGTAGTTTGAAGTAAGAAGTCAACTGTCGGTTTATAGACTTTTGCCGTATGTGTATACGTTGCCCAGGATGCACCACGTGGAGGTAAGTCTATCCCGCGCCCCGGAAAGGTGGATAATAGTTAGGGGGTCTAGGACCTTAAGTTGAGTGCTTTGGTGGGAAGGCGCGCGATTATCATGAAACCGATCACGCATAAAAAATTAAGTTGTACGTGGACGGTTCATTCGCAGTTCTCTGCATTAAATTTTTTAAGTGGGACAATCCTTTATCGTGAAAAACTTAACTGTCATTAGTGTAGCGTAATTGGGACGACCAAGGCAACACTTCCAATGTGAGCGAATTAGGGTAGTTCCGTGAATTTTTCCAAAAACCTGACATATTAAAGACTTTATTCGGATAAAAACTATGCTGCACATTTGAAGACTTCCTTTACCTATTAGTCTTCAGAGAATATGAAATCTGCTTGTTAAAAATGGATGTTTCTAAATCTACTTACAGTAAATTCAGTCGGAGTCAATAGATGATAAGGAGTGAATTCTAAAAAAAGAATTCTTCTCCTTGCTGTTGTAGAACACGATGATGAGAAGAAAAAATGATCGAACAACAAATTGAAAGGGGTAGTTGCCATAATGATTCTGGAGACCAGATAAAATATGAATTATCTGATTATGTCACTTTCCATTCTAATGCCAACCTTGCTTTAAGTGTACTAACTCCATTTTTGTGACCTTTCACTTTCCATCTAGAAAAATGGTAAAATAGACAACGAAGTAGTGATAATAGATGACAGCTCCGTTTTACGGCAGAAATCGACTGATTTTACTGAACGACAAACCGCCACACCTGTTCCAATAAACATATGAATTTTTGGTGGCTCTACCTTAGGGGGGTGGGGGGGGGGGGGGGGGGGGGGGGAATGCATGGTGGAGCAAAACAAGCCAGTGGCCCTTCCCTTTCTTTAAAGTCATCAAATAAAACTTTAATATGGCTAATTTTACGTGTGATATACCCATGGGACTTTGATCAATAAGCTTCAAGGCCTCCAATCTCTGACGCACCTACTAGGCTCATTTGATGAAACTTAAATTCAGGAACTTTAACTACTGTGGTTGAGTTGAATTGACGCAATTATATGGACTGTTTGAAGCAAATAAGAAGGATTATAGACACATAAGCAGCGGCCAGAATTTGGCCGATGAAGCATAATTTTCACGAACTAGATTGCTTTGTCTACACGACGCAGACTGATAAGGCAGTCAGAAGCATTGAATTCCACATTCATCCACACACAACAATGCATGTTGCATTTAATAACCACTCGATTCATAACTTTATTTACTTGCAATTCACCAAGAAGCTGTCTTAAATTTTACAGAAGAGAACAGATTATTAACAAATAGCAGTACAAAAATTACCCTTCCGACAGATTAGTTTGTTTGGTAGAGCTACGCTAATCTGGATGCCAAATGGGGTGAGCGATACCTACCTCCGCGTGGTGCGTCCTGGGCAACGCATACTCATACGGCAAAAAGTCTATAAACAGGCAGTTGACTAATCACTTCGAATTATTATTTCACCGCTGCATGACATATTCGACCACTTTCACAGTACTCATCTTACCTTATCTCTACCTATGTGCCAGTCTATCTCTTACATCTGTGAATCACTCTTCTGTCCCCCCTCTCGACTTTTCTCAATTTCATGTTCCTCTCCTCTGTGACGACCGAAGTCAGTTAAAGACCTATTGATAACTAGCAAAACGCCTGCCATTTGAAAAAATAATCTACATGCCAAAAATAAAACCTGTAATTTAAATAACAGATTTTGTAAATAGAAAATAAATCTGGCATAACTGAATGCACAGTAAACAATGCGTGAGTACAAGTACAATAATCGATAATTCAGTGCACGAGGAATGCGATTAATGGATGAAACAAGTGTTCCATTTAGATTGCTAGCACCGTAAAAGAAATCAGCCGTATATTCCTGCACAGCCATGAACATAAGTCCCTTCTGCTATAAAACTAGGTTAGGATTACAACAAGCACATGCATTCCCGTAAATCAACTTCTTAGCCTAGGTTCATTGGAAAACGACTCGCCTCAGATGAATCAATCACGAATCCATCTGAAAATTACTTAACAATTTCACCTCTTCCTCCAATAAGCTTGCTATCTACACCGCTACATCTACCTCTCTATTACAAAGAAGGAACAATGACGTATTAACAATGATCCCAAATTAAGCTTGAGCAAAAAATACAAATTTCACCACTGCATGAAGTCGGTCAGGGTTAACTGCACATTTAAGACAATAATTCACTAAACGCCTAGTAAATACCCATGAAAAATAATGTCAAAGATAAGCTATATATAAAAAAGAACAGAAAGAGAGCAATTTCAGCAAGGGCATTGGATTGACGAGCTTATTTATTACTATAATATATACAACACTTTGCTACTTTGAGTAAGAAATAAGTCCTTCATCGAAGAGTTGCTTCGTAGAAGCTCGCATAGTAGATCTAGTGAGGTGAGCATCTGGATCTTCAAGGCGTTGAACTGTATATCCTCGGAGAACGAAGCCTCCACCACCAGAAGTCATTTTCATAACTGGATGGGTTCGATTCGGCAAGACTTGAATCGGTCTCAACCAAGTGTCGTGAAGTTGCAATTGTGTACAGCTACCTCGACGCTTTAGAATGTTATAGAGATCCACAAGAGTCTTGTAAGAAAATGAGAACATGATCAAACTAGGGATCAGCACTACACGAACAGAATATCTTGTAAGTGTCAAAACGTCTAATTATACTAGGAAAAGCCAATAATGCAAAGACAAAAACTCCACTTATAGGGATTAAAAGCATTTGCTTAATGCCCATTCTATAGTGAACAGATTATTTATTGAGCATAAAAATTTGGATAAATTTTCATTAAAGCACTCAGGACAGAATCTAAAGGATAAATTTCACCGTTTTTCACAAGGAAAAGACTTTACTTCTAATAATCTATGAAATGCTTCATAAATTCTACTAAAACCAAAAATCTACTTGAATCACCAGTTACGAATGCATACTAAAGGAAAACCGCTAATTATTTTATACTCCCACTTATGCGACCAAGATGATAATAGTTATCCCATTTAGAAACAAACAAAGGAATCTTTCAACTCACTGAGAGGATGTGAGAATGGACAACAAAAGGCCGACCAGGAGGGAGAAACTGCATCAACAAAAGAGTGATTTCCACTGGATAGAACTTAGTAGCCACAATCAGGCAGTCGGGCCTGTCTTCCAACCCTGATGAGAGTTGGGACTCAGTGGGACAGAGGATTCTGCGGATCTCATTCCACTGTTTCTGCTTCTCTTCCTGTCGTTTCTGGCGTATTTCAGGTGTCATTGCGCAATACTTCCCATTTTGTCGCTTTTTTCTTTGATTTCCTACATCGTCTTCGGCCCTTTGGAGTGGCTTCTCAGATTGCGAAGGTGCGTCCTCCGCTGTTATCGTTTCTATACCTGGGTCCTCAGTTCGGGGTTTCTAAGAAATGTTAGGTGGTATAAAATTGCACGGTTTAAGTAGAAACTAAGAAATTAAAACAACCTTGCGATGTGGAGAATCTAAAAGGATTTCTTCACGGTGTTCCCGAGCGAATTTCCCAGTTAAAAGAAGAGAGGTTACATCTTCGAATTGGACGTAATAGATCTGAGAATAAAAAGGTAAGAGAGCCATTACTATTTATTTGTTTTTTCATCCATTCAAAGAAACGAAACTATCAAGATGGCATTATGGACGAGTTAATTTAATCTCCCGATGCTGACCACATAACAAATAAGCGTAGGAAGTTTGAATTACTTCGTCAATCGCATCGGTCAGAGAATTATTTCAAAAGAAATATTGCTAAATTAGCGCTCCCATTTGCTAAAGAACTTATTTAGTTAAAAAATACTCTAATATATTTGTGACAGATTGTGGCACTACAAGTTACGTATCAAAGTAGTGATTAGATGGGAATATCTATTTCCAACATAAAACATGAGAGAACAAAGGCAGACAACCAGTACAAATCTTCAACGGACGTTCACGGTATTAGTAGGGCCTGAAAATGCATGTAACAAACTATAAGAGTAGGAAAGTGGCAGTGAGCCAACTTACTGGAGAGTAATCACCGAGAGGTGATACATCGATAACAGGCGTTGAAGTTCCGTGATGAAAGTTGATGAGACGACTACCACAGCTTCGGTGACCCAGACGCTCCAAGACGGCTTTACTAATAAGGCCTGCGTAGGATTCTGTCAGCAGCACTGTGGAACTTGCATGTACATTTGCAAAGGTAAGTAATTGCACAAGCGAGTCGTAACGAAGAGTCCTATTGATAAAAAGTCCCCATGATTATGATTTAAGTAACATTACAACCTGCGTGCTTCAGGGAGTACTTTAGCCAACAATGTGTCACAACTACCAGTTAAATTCAAAACGCTAGGACGCATTTAATTGCACAAAATAAAAAAGAAACAATTATTAATTTTAAAAGCACTGTATAGGAGTGCGCGATAGACTTACCTCCATGTGGTGAACCCTGGGCAACGTATACTCATACGGCAGAAAAATCTATAAACAGGCGGTTGACTTCAAACTACCATGACTCCACTGCAAGCCACATTCGACCACTTTCATAATACCCATCTTACCATTTCTCCGCCTTGGTGTCCGTCTCTTGATTCCGTGAATCACTCTTCTGTTCCCCCTCTCCCTATTGACTTGTTTCACTTTGATGTTCCTCCTCCCCTCTGTGAAGCCAGAAGTCAGCTAAAGGGCTAATGATAACTATCGCAAAGCCTGCCAATTGATATTAATAAATGCCTGTATAAGCTATTAGGTTGGCAACTAAGTCGTTGCCGATTTCAAATAAGAAGGCAAATTCGGAATTTTTGTTTAAAAATATAACTTTATTCAATTAGATATTGGCCGTTCTTGTCAATGACCATTTTCCACCGTTCTGGCAGAGTAAAAATTCCCCGTTCGTAAAATGTCTGGTCTTTGCTATTAAAAAACTGAATTAGGTGTGATCCGACATCATCCGCGTTGTTAAAAATTTTACCATTTAAAGAGTTTTGCATGGAACGAAACAAATGGTAATCCGAAGGCGCAAGGTCAGGGCTATATGGTGGGTGTGACAAAACATC